CACAACTTGACCCCAAAGAACTAGTTAATTACAGACCGATCTCAAATCTCCCTTTTCTGTCCAAGATACTAGAAAAGGTAGTATCCTCACAATTATATTCCTTCTTAGAGAAAAATGGTATCTGTGAGGATTTCCAGTCAGGATTTAGACCGTATCAGTATTGAGACTGCTCTCATTAGAGTTACAAATGACCTGCTCTTATCATCTGATTGTGGTTGTATCTCTCTATTAGTGCTACTGGATCTTAGCGCTGCGTTCGACACTATCGACCACAACATTCTTTTGAATAGACTAGAAAACGTTGTTGGCATTAGTGGAAGTGCATTAGCATGGTTCAAATGGTACTTATATGATCGTCATCAATTCGTAGCAGTGAATGAAGAGGCATCATATCAATCACAAGTGCAGTATGGAGTACCTCAAGGCTCAGTACTAGGGCCGTTACTCTTCACACTTTACATGTTACCCTTGGGAGATATCATCAGGAAACACGGTGTTAGCTTTCACTGTTATGCTGATGATACTCAGCTCTATATTTCTTCACGGCCCGGCGAAACATACCAATTTGAAAAACTTGCGGAATGCATAGTCGACATAAAAAAAAACTGGATGACAAGTAATTTCCTACTGCTAAATTCTGAAAAAAACAGAGGTGTTAATTATCGGACCTAAAGCCTCTGCATGTAATAACCTATAACACTCTCTAACACTCGATGGCTGCTCTGTTAATTCTTCATCATCAGTTAGGAACCTAGGTGCGCTATCTGATAGCAATCTTTCCTTCAATCTCTTATTGCATTATAGTCCTCCATGTCTGCTGCGTTCTCAAAACTTTGGCAGTTTGATAATACCTAGAATACTCAAAATCAACTGCGGGCGGCAGATCCTTTTCCTATTTAGCGCCCAAACTCTGGAATAACCTACCTAACATTGTTCGGGAGGCAGACACACTCTGTCAGTTTAAATCTAGATTAAAGACCCATCTCTTTAACCTGGCTTACACATAACACACTAACACATTTCTATTATTCAAATCCGTTAAAGGATTGTTAGGCTGCATTAATTAGGACAACCGGAACCGGGAACACTTCTCATAACACCCGATGTACTTGCTACATCACTAGAAGAATGGCATCTACGCTAATATTAGTCTGTTTCTCTCTTATTCCGAGGTCACCGTAGCCACCAGATCCAGTCTGTATCCAGATCAGATGGTCACTGCAGTCACCCGGATCCAGTACGTATTCAGCCCAGATGGTGGATCAGCACCTAGAGAGGACCTCTACAGCCCTGAGAGACAGCGGAGACCAGGACAACTAGATGAGCCCCAGATACAGATCCCCAGTAAAGACCTTGTCTCAGACGACCACCGGGACAAGACCACAGGAACCAGATGAGTCCTCTGCACAATCTGACTTTGCTGCAGCCTGGAATTGAACTGCTGGGTTCGTCTGGTCAGAGGAGAACTGGCCCCCCGACTGAGCCTGGTTTCTCCCAAGGTTTTTTCTCCATTCTGTCACCGATGGAGTTTTGGTTCCTTGCTGCTGTCGCCTCTGGCTTGCTTAGTTGGGGACACTTCATTTCCAGCGATATCGTTGACTTGATTGCAAATGATGCAGAGATACTATTTAAACTGAACTGAGCTGGATGATGACATCACTGAATCCAATGATGAACTGTCTTTAACTGAAAAATGAGTGTTTACTATTGTCCTTTTGCATTATTGACACTATTTTCCTAATTAATGCTGTTCAGTTGCTTTGACACAATCTGTATTGTTAAAAGCGCTATATAAATAAAGGTGACTTGACTTGACTTTGTATTTATATATACATAATAAATATAAACACTGCAAAAAATGATTTTCTTAGTGTTTTTTGTCTTGTTTTCTAGTATAAATATATTAAAATTATTGAATCAAGATGAATTTACTTTAAAGGTGACCTAAGATATATTATGTCTTGTTTTTTGAAAAAAAAATTTTTTTGTTAGTTTTGCTTAAAACAAGCAAAATATCTGGGGCATGAAAAATAATCTTGTTTAGCCTTTGAATTAAGATTATTTTTCTTACCCCACTGGCAGATATTTTTGCTTGTTTTAACTACATTGTGATTATTTATTTTAGAAAACAAGACTTAATATCTTAAGCCATATTGCTTGTCATGTAAATGCATCTTGATTCAAGAATGTTTAGATATTTGTGCTAGAAAACACGACAAAAATACTAAGAAAATATTTTTTGCAGTGCACAGTATACACACATATATTACGTAAACAACAACTTTTGTTTTGGATGCGATTAATTGCGATTATTCATTTGCCAGCACTAATACAAATGTAATTGCAACTTTCTGTTTTATATCATGCAACTCTGACTTAATTTCTCACAATTCTGAATTAATTTTGCCATTCTGAATCATATATATATTGTTATTCTGACTTCATATCTCGCAATTATATATGCGTTATATATCTTGCAATTCTGGACTGTAATTTTCGCAAATGTGAATTATATATTTTACATTTCTGAATAATATATCTCGAAATTCTAAATTAAATATTTTTCTCAATTCTGATTTATGTCTCAGTTCTGAACTATATATTTTACAATTCTGACTTCATATCTCACAATTCTGAATGATAAAGATTCACAACAGTTTAGTAGTTTAGTCCTGTTTTCAGTATTTCACTAAATGAATTATCAGTGGAATCATTAAAGAAAGAGCATCATAAAGTGTAACTGAATTCTCATCTCTACAGACCTGTGTGATGGCGGTCGCACACGCGTGTCCCAGCATCTCCGTCAGCTGTTGCCGTCCGAAACCATAGTCCCTTAGCAACTCCGTCTCCATGGCAACCGCCTCCTCTTTACTGCAAAACATAAATAAATGAGTCGAGGTGGACTCTAAAAATACGATCAGAACCAAGACAAGTTAGAAAAACCCTGTTAAACACGACTGACGAAAGTCAAACTGTGAAAACACACAGATATGAACGAGAGACTCTAGAAACACATGGAGTGCAATGATTTATAAACAAGTATTTCTGTCTTGTTTTCCAGAACATATGAGACCCTGGAGCACAAAAGCAGTCATAAGGGTCCATTTAGTGAAACTGAGGTTTATACATCATCTGAAAGCTGAATAAATAATCTCTCCATTGATGTATGGTTTGTTAGGATCGGACAATATTTGAAAATCTGGAATCTGAGGGTGCAAAAAAATCTAAATATTGAGAAAATCATCTTTAAAGTTGTTCAAATGAAGTTCTTAGCAATGCATATTACTAATCAAACATTAAGTTTTGATATATTTACAGTAGGACATTTACAAAATATCTTCATGGAACATGATCTTTACTTAATATCCTAATGATTTTTGGCATAAAAGAGAAATGTATAATTTTGATCCATACAATGTATTGTTGGCTATTGCTACAAATATCCCCCAGCGACTCAACACTGCTTTTGTGCTGCAGGGTCATCAAAATGACTTGATATTCAGTCTTGTCTTCTGAAAAAAAAAGGATCAAATTGAAGTGAGTTTTTGCTTAAAACAAGATCAAATATCTGCACTGGGGTGAGAAAAAAAACTTGTTTTCCTTTGAGTTAAGCTGATTTTTCTGACCCCAGTGCAGATATTTGATCTTGTTTTAAGCAAAAACTCACTTCAATTTGATCCTTTTCTTCTCAGAAGACAAGCCTGAATATCAAGTCATTTTGATTTAAGAGTCTTTAGATATTTGTTCTGGAAAACAAGAGCCACATACTGCGCCAGAAGGTGATTTTATGCGTGTGCTCCAGGACTCCGCGTGACGGATCCTCTGACCTTCTGTGATCGGATCGAGAGGGATTCCCGTGACGCTCCACTCCACAGTTCCTGAACTCATGGAGGGAATCGATCCAAGCACAGATCATGCCACACATCTTCAAGAAACTTAAACCTCCTGAGACTCAGTCCTGGGTTCTGATCCACATCTGTGTACAGCATCAGATAAACACATTTCCAGCACTTCTGAAATCACGGCACACTCCTGATGGACCGGACTAGTTTCTCTGTGAGGAACAGACACATGAAGTCATACTGAACTGAGAATTAATCATTTCATATCCAGTCTGTTCCTCGCACAGAGCATCATGTGAAGCTGGAATACAGAGAACGAGTCACGTGATATAACGTGATATAACCGCATAATAACGGCATACAGGTTTTAGGCTTTTGGTGATTTTCTATAATAATGATGCACTGCAAACACTGCTTTTATTTTATTTTTTGTCTTTTAGTATTTTTGTCTTGTTTTCCATTACGAATTTCTAAAAATCCTTCAATCAAGATACATTTACTTGAGAAAAAATGTTGATCAAATAAAAAAAAAAAGGCCAAAATATATTTCAAATATATTGAATATATTTTTTAAAAAATGGCCAAAAATAATCTGGTAGAAGATCTAGAATAAATAAATATATAAACCAGTCATAAGGGTCAGTTTTGTGAAATTGAGATGTATGCATCATCTGAAAGCTGAATAAATAATCTCTCCATTGATGTATGGTTTGTTAGGATCGGACAATATTTGAAAATCTGGAATCTGAGGGTGCAAAAAAATCTAAATATTGAGAAAATCATCTTTAAAGTTGTTCAAATGAAGTTCTTAGCAATGCATATTACTAATCAAACATTAAGTTTTGATATATTTACGGTAGGACATTTACAAAATATCTTCATGGAACATAATCTTTACTTAATATCCTAATGATTTTTGGCATAAAAGAGAAATGTATAATTGTGACCCATACAATGTATTGTTGGCTATTGCTACAAATATCCCCCAGCGACTTAACACTGCTTTTGTGCTGCAGGGTCGCATATGTTCTAGATCTTTTACCAATTTATTTTTGATCATTTTTTGTTGTATAATATATGTGTGTGTATTTTTTTGACCATTTGTTGTACATTTGAAAATATATTTAAAAGTATATTTGATTAGTTATTTATTTTTGCCGTATGGGAATACAGTTTTTAGTGGAACTGTCCGGATGTGAGTGCGATCTGAGAGTGTAATGCATGTTTGATGAATCAGCAGGACAGCAGATCAGCTCTGAGGAACATCTGCTGCCGCAGGAGACGCAGCGAGACAGAGACAGAGACAGAGACAGATCTGGCTGGACGTCTGTGTATTTGTAGAAGGTCTGAATAAAGAAAACTCTGCTCTATTTTAACATGAAACCCAAGCACCCAGTCACACCCAATCCCCCAGCGACTCAACACTGCTTTTGTGCTGCAGGGTCACGTATGTTCTAGATCTTTTACCAATTTATTTTTGATCATTTTTTGTTGTATAATATATGTGTGTGTGTTTTTTTGACCATTTGTTGTACATTTGAAAATATATTTAAAAGTATATTTGATTAGTTATTTATTTTTGCCGTATGGGAATACAGTTTTTAGTGGAACTGTCCGGATGTGAGTGCGATCTGAGAGTGTAATGCATGTTTGATGAATCAGCAGGACAGCAGATCATCTCTGAGGAACATCTGCTGCCGCAGGAGACGCAGCGAGACAGAGACAGAGACAGAGACAGAGACAGAGACAGATCTGGCTGGACGTCTGTGTATTTGTAGAAGGTCTGAATAAAGAAAACTCTGCTCTATCTTAACATGAAACCCAAGCACCCAGTCACACCCGTCTAAATGACAACAACACATCCGCCTCTCCTTCAGCTGAAAGCAATAGTTTAGCCAAACGTGAAAATGTGCTGTAAATGTGGATGCTCTGCAGTGAATGGGTGCCGTCAGAATGAGAGTCCAAACAGCTGATAAAAACATCACAATAATCCACAGCACTCCAGAGAAAAACTCATCCTGATCTCTGATGAACTGAAGGTGAGCACATTTACATTTCTGGCTGAACTATTGCTTTTATAGACACTTATCACACTTCTAATAAAGTTTATCACATCTTTGATTCTCCACATTAATGACCTCAGCAGCACACATTATAACGAAGAGAGCTCGGTACGTTTTAGAAGGCGTCTGAATCTCATCTCTTCTGTTTTCTCAGAGAAAACATCAGATACGTACAGAAATAGAGGAAGAAAACATTTTTAATGAGATGCTGAAACCGAAAACAAAAGAGTTTGGCAGGAATAAACCAGACGAACTGCTGTAATCAGCTTTTAACCCAACCTGTGTCTCTGAGCTGAACGCAGCTATAAACAAGAAAAGAAACCAGTTCTACAGAACTCTACAGAACACACGAGCAGAGCTGAACAGACATGAAGAGAATAGAAATAAAGCACTGTTACTGTGACAAATTCACTCTAGTTTCACAGATAATGAAGTTCTTGTGTGCGTGTGTGTGTGTGTGTGTGTGTGTGTGTGTGTGTGTGAGAGAGAGAGAGAGTGTGAGTGTGTGTGTGTGTAGTGTGTGAGACTGTGTGTGTGTGTGTGAGTGTGTGTGTGTGAGAGAGAGAGAGAGAGAGAGTGTGAGTGTGTGTGTGTGTGTGTGTGTAGTGTGTGAGACTGTGTGTGTTTGTGTGTGTGTGTGTGTGAGAGAGAGAG